CCAGAGATGCCTGAGGTTTCATGATTCCGGTGGGGGCTGGTCCCTGTCCCACAGTGTGTCTTGGTGACGGGTGACACTCAGCTCCTTACCGTGCACAGGACGGGACCCGCCCCAGAGAAGTCTCTGGCCCAGGACATCCTCAGTGCCCAGGCAGAGAAACTTAATCACTCGGAGCAGCTGGTTGGGTACAGGATGGACGTGGGGAAAAAGCAGCGTGACTGTGCAGCCCTCTCAGCAGTGGAGAGAAACCCCCACCCAGTATCATTTTGGGTTGTTTTATTTTGTTTTTTTTAAATGGAGAATTGATAAAACAGAGCTTCCAAAATCCTATTCACCGGATGAAACCAATCAACATATTGAGCTCTTTTGTCAAGAACATCCAATATTTAAATGTAAAGTTCCTTATGAGTTTGAGGGCCAACCAAATAGCTCCCGGGGTTCCCCCATAAGCCCTGTTCACAGTGATGCTGAGCTCGGACAACCGTGAGAATGTCCTTATTTTCCTTTGTGGCTCACTGGCTGTGTGACCTTGGACTAGTGGCCTAATCTCTCTGGGTTTCCACTTCCTTAGTTGTGAATGAAGATGGACTTAGCTCATGTGGAGGTAGTGCTGACTGTGGGCCAGGCATCTTGTATGCTTCCTCTCCCTTAGTCCCCTGGGGAGAGATGGGGTGTGAAGTGGCAGAAGGGATGAGTGGGGGTTGGTTCTCAGCAGAAGGAAGGTGAAGAGCTACCCAGGGGCACTGTGGCATGCACCTGTAATCCCAGCCACTCGGGAGGCTGAGGCAGGAGGATCACAAGGTCAAGGCCAGCCTCGGCTTGCAGCAGTCTGGCTGCAGCAAAATTACTGGGGGAGGGGGGTGACGAGGAACTTGTGTAGATTGATACAGCAGGAGTGGGAACCATTTATTATAGGACAGGAGGGGTATATATACATTCCACACAGCTTATCTTAATTAGCATAAACTAGATACGGCTCCCACTCCTGCTGTATCAATCTGTACAAGTTCCTCGTCACCCCCCAATTATTTTGCTGCAGCCGGACTGCGGCATCGGCTGAACCTGACACAGAATAAAAAATAAAAAGGGCTGGGGATGTGGCTTGGTGGTTGAGCACCCTGGGTTCCGTCCCCAGGACTACAAAATAGAGAGAGAGAGAAGGAGGAGAAGAAGAAGGAGGAGGAGGAGGAGGAGGAAGAGGAGGAAAAGGGATCCAGGAAAGAGCAGGCTATAGATCCGATGTCTTTCTTGGAAGAGGAGAGGGTGTGGTCGGGACCAGGAAGGAGGGCGGTGCAGAGAGGAGGTGCAGAGAAAAGCCCAGGGTCCCAGGGCTCAGGGTCTCCATGACCAAGATGGGACCGCCTCCTGTGCCCCAGCACCAGGAGAGACACCCCCTCTCTCAACTGGAAGCTCCGTGGCTCCTCCCTCCCCATCCTCAGAGACATTCAGGCTTCAAGATGAAACGTCCTGTCCGATGGCCCCAAGCCACTTATGGCTCCTTGAACTTGAGTCAGAGTTGAGTAGGACTGAAAATTCTATTCCTCGGTGAGAGGGGCCAGGTTTTAAGTGCTCAATGGCCAGGGGGCTAGTGGCCTTAATATTGGGCGGTAAGATGTGACAATCCGCCATCGCAGACAGTTCTAGACCCTCCCTGATCCCTGCGGAAGCAGAAGTCCCTTTGCTTCGGTTTGATGAGCCCAAGCGGCTGCAGGTGTGGCTCTGCCAGCTGAACGATCCCAGGGGCTGTCCAGAGCCACGGTTTAAGGCAGCGTCCAGCTGAGACAGGTCGGGCCCAGCACTACAAAGCCAAGAGGTGACCTCCCTTGGAACCCGTCTGCAGCCTGTGTCCTCCCGGTGGATGCTCCTCTCCTCTGGCTGTGTAGACACCACTGCGTAGCAAGCCCCTCCACAGGTAGATCCCAGGTGACCGACTGGCGGCAGTACGCCCGCTCCCTCCCTGGGACCCGGTTACCGCCGGCAGCTGGTGGGCTAGGAAGCTTCATGAATCTACTCCAGATTTTGCTCTTGGGAGATCAGAAGCAGCATAGCTCAACCTAGATGCTTCCCGTGGTCCCAGAGGAAAAATATTTTTCCCCTGCTCATCACACACGACTCTAAAATAAGTTCGTGTTGGCACAAACACTTCAAGTGCATTATTGAAACAGAGGTGTGCATGGATTTAAAAAAAAAAAGAAGAAAAAAGAATAACAATGAAGAAACCTGAAATTCCCCCCCCTGCAGGGTCACACAAAATGAGCTAAGTGATCCATTGCAGAGTTGCCCAAGTAATTGACCCTGTCCTTTTTATAAATAGGCCTAATAGAAATGTGGGGTTCCTTGTTGTGTCGCCTCTGGCTTAGAATGAGTATCCTGACTAGTTTTTCCTGTCTGTATTTTTTAAAGGAAAGCATCTGGGCTAGCCATCGCTCAGACCTGGTTGCAAACCGCAGTTCTCTGGCTCTGTGCTTACTGTGTGACCTTGGGAAACTTATGTCACCTCTCTGGGCTCAGTTTTCTCATCTGTAAAATAGGACTTTTAATGTCCACCAAGAGTTCATGAAATACCTTCTGTTCCAGTACCTGGTGTGTTCCAGAGGCTCAGAATACATTTCCCTCCTCCCGTCTCTGCTGAGACCCCATTATGGCCATGTGGTATCATCAGAGCAGGAGTCTTAGATGTGAACTGGAGCTGAGTGGCACCGGGAGCCGCTCTCCCCACAGACGATTCCCCTGTCACCGTGTAGGCAAGCCATTGACTTGGGGAACGTCTGTAATCAAGGGCCACTCTGGGTTGTTTTGGTGGCATTTTAAAGAGGGGAAGACAAAATGTTCCCTCTGATAAATGCAAACCTCTCCCACAGAAGAGCAGGATGGCTTTGACGGGGACCCGGGGACGACGAGGAGCCCAGCAAAGAGGGGTCTGGCTGACCGCGACTCAGCAGCGGGAGGGTCACCCAGGGCCCGGCACTCAGGCCCACCGGCTCCCGGTCCTTCCCAATGTCATGGGGCATGGAGAAGGCTGCCTTGCCCGACGTCGGGGAACCGATGTCAGAGAACAAACCTGGAAGATCCCAGAGACGGGCTGGGGGAGCCGGGCGGCCTCGGGGCAGAAGGGCTGAGGCCAGACGGGCAGCGGGAGGCCTGGATGTCCACGCCCAGTCCTCGCTCCATCTAACTGGGCGGCAGCCCACGGACGCGGCTAGAAGGGTCCATTAGAGATCAAGGGCAGGACGGGGGAAGCTGAGCCGTGAAGGAGTCAGGCTCTGGCTCAGGAACCAGCCTGAGTTTGCATCACTGTCAGTGGCCGGGTGACGTAAGCCAGCAACTGCGCTTCTCTGAACCTCGGCTTCCTCATATGGTGCTGGTTATGATGGTGCTGGTGGTGATGGTGCTGATGGTGATGCTGAAGACGGTCATGGTGAAGAGGAGGAGAAAGATGATAATGATGGTGGGGAGGGAGGGGACCATGAAGATGTGTTGAAGTTGAGAGTGACCATTTTAAGGTGGTTTTGGTGTTGATGGTGATGGTGATGGTGAT